CGGAGGGCACTCTTTCCTCCCTCCCCTCCTCTTCGTTATTCGTTTCGCAAGTACCTTCCATTTATCCGCGTAAGCAGGCTGCGGTCGCGATCATCGTAAAAACATACATCCGTCTCGTCCGCGTTGGAGAACAAACGCGGAGGGACCGACGGGGAAAATGATGCGTTGCTCGCCCGACGCTTCTGCGGGGAAAATCGCTTTAATGATTTTCGCGAAATTGCAATGTGTCGCGATAACGTCGGTTACAGCCATTATCCCGAAAGATTTATCTTCAATTCTTTCAAATGCACATTCTCGGTGCGCGCGCGCACATACGCGAGTCGTTCCGCCGCACGTAGAATATCATTTCCAAAAATGATGGCACGCGCTCTACTCCCGAGGAAAATTGAATCATATTTTCTTCAGCTCGCTAAACTTCTAAGTCACGTAGCACCGTCTGAGTTTCGAGTTTGGGCCTTTCTGGCCTTTTTATCCCGCTTCACAGCGGGGTCGACGCTGCGCGATTTACAAAGTGGCTCACGTAGCGTGCACTTTTTAACGTAATTAACTTGTGTCTTCTCATAATTTAAGTTGCCTTGCGTATACAGGCCCAGGAGTGGCCACTCCTTGGCATCTCCGTTTTGTTACACAAGAATCTGCGCGATATTTCACGCAGTTGTCCTCCAGCTCTGCCGTCGCGTTGATCATCCTTCTTTCGCGTGCCGATGGCACACACAATCCTGTATTCCATATTCATGTTCAGAAGCAAACCCGGGCGGACACGGGCCGTACATATTCGTTCTCTTTCCGTTAATCATCCGGCGATCTCTCGGCTATCGGTGCTGCTGCATCATGTTCATCCCATTCGCCGATCGCGCGTAACAAATCAAAGTCAGGCGGCGAGCAGGATGGAGACGTGCCGTGCACCAATGTCGAACGGGACATTGGCATGCGAGAAGATGCGACGTGGACAGGGACGACGCATCCGAGGGACGAGGGGAAGGGCATGGTCGCGCATGGTCGCATGTGCGATGCGGCGCAACGGTGACACGGCGACGTTTCGTGTTCAAGTGGATCCGAGCGTTTATTTGATATACAGCTAATTAGAGATCGAAATCGCGACTCGTCAGAGAGCGCGTCTCTCGCTTTGAAACGGATAGCGGTCGGGTTCACCCTTGTCGCGTGTGTCCGTGAGACTAATATCTCGTGTGTACGTTCGTCCGTGTATGTACGAGCGGACGATGCGCCGCCGCGTCGCCAAGTATCGCGATTATCCGGGTAATGAAGGAGAAAATTTTATTCATAGTGAAGATCACACGCTCGAGTCACCGTTGCTGTGGAATGCTTCGACCTCTAGAAATATCGTGACAAGAAATCTTGAGTGACAGCTCTTTTCGATATGATCCATTTATCTATCGTACATATTCCTATATATATATATATTCCATTGAAGCATATTCGTCTGCATCTAATTCACCCGAGACGTCGTTTCTGTGATTCTCATTTTCAGCAGCCTTATATTTTAAGCACGCTCTGCTATTTCGAGAAGGGAAACCCAATTAAACACGCGAGTCCGATTGAGGTAAATTAATTGAAGATCAAAGTCTTAGTTCAGTTTCACAAGTGCAGGTGGAATGTAGTACTAGGCTTTCCACGCTGTGTTCACATCAGTGCGGAATTAGATTATGAATAATATGTTTTATATGGAAAATGACGCATATCTCTCACTTATCTATCACGCTGTAAAGTTAAGTGAGATGCGAACTAAACTTGCATTCGTGAATACTGCTCAAATCGTAGACTGCCGGTAAATGAGTTTCATAGAGGCAATAACAACCAATTTTATTTGTTAAAACGTTTGAGAAAATGGCAATAATTTTGTGCTAACTTGCTATTTTCTTTATGATTGAATTATTTAAGAATAACCTATAATGAGACCATCATATAATCTACATGCTAATTTCACGTCTTGATAAATCATTTACTTTTTTACATTTTCATATTTGCGGAAAACGTTAGGAAAACGTTTCAAATTAAGTCAGATTCGGATAAAAACCAAATTCCTTCTGATGACAGTTTTAAATGCATTGCCTACAACCAAGCGATAAGCTTCTTTCGCACACACTCGCGCGCGTTCAATGGGAGACAGAATCGGATGATTGTGTTCAACGTTCGCCCTTCAACTTGATATACAGCTAATTGGAGATCTGAATCTCGGGGCGTAGATCGTATCCCGAGGCGCGAGAGTAGAGCGCGTAGATGTACAAAACGTTTTGCGGTGTCGTGCGCAGCAGCGTTTCTCAATGCTACTGGTCATATTAAAAAATCGTTAAGTACTTCTTTAATCTGTGAATCAAGCAAGAATGAAACGAGATAAGAAACGAGAGTAAAAACTAATTCTTTCTTGCACGTGTAATGTCTTTGTTCTAAAGCGCGCCTCTGAGACTACGCCAGATGGAAAGAGTAATTTGTATACTTGAATTTTATCTCAATACTTAATTATAAACGCAGCATCATTATGAGCATAGATTCAAGCAGCGTCATTATGAATTTTTCGAGTTTTTTGCAAAAAGCTCTAGTAGATTGAAGCGGAGAGGGCCAGTATTGATCGTTGAAGCATTAAGTTGAGAAACCCTGATGTATAGCATGCCATGCGCTTCTGGATTTGCGTCTACGTGGGAGCGGGCACCTGCACTCTCGCGTAAAACACATCTCCGCGATCCCTTCGACAAAAGACGGGAGACGAGATGGGAAAATAGAAAGGATCCGCTCTATCCTGGCAAACTATAACTAAAACCGCGCACGCGTTAGTGTACTGCTCTATAAATTATATATCATCCGTTGGATCTGTGTGCATGCGTGTGGAGCCGGACGCCATTCCGATGTCACGTTTGAGTAATATATTATATTTCTGCTTGTCACGACTATGCTTGTACCTATACACCATCGCGAGTTGCAATTTCTTCTCCTGGCACATCGCTGCCATCCATTCTTTTTCTCGTGGAATGGCGCATAAAATTCGCGGATTCGTCACGTTGCGAATCGGAACATTCTGATTGCAATATTACAATACTAAATCTAGAGGGGTAATTTTATATAAACAGTATTGAGACGTAATCTTTCACGAATTACTTCTTTATAGTGCAAAAAAATATTGATACGTAAAAACTGAAATTCTTTCGTGTATAATTTACGTGTGATATACTATTTATATAATATAAATCCTAAATAGCAAGTTATTAATATATCTGTAAATAGATATATAGAATAGTTATAGAATAGATATCAATCAAATAATTTTATTTCTACTTCAATACTTTACTAACAGAAAGAAACTTCAAAAGAAAACGCGAAAAATCACAAATGATTTATCGGAGGAAAAGTAATAATAGAAAAGGTATTGTGGTCACTCTTGGTCGTGAAAAAATCTCGGATCGATAGCTCCGAAATTTTCATCTTACGGCCGTGTTCATATTTTTCATTTTCTACTGTCAAAATGTCCAAACTACGTCAAGCGAACGACTCGCAATCCCATCCTACATGCTCGACATGTTCATCCAACATTTCTCTTCCCTTTTTCCTTGAAACAAAGAGAGAGAGAGAGAGAGAGAGAGACTTGGCTTGTCGCTGTGATGCGAGACTCGTTTCGTACGACTGCACTTCGTTAAATCAACGAAGCTACCGTACCGCGTAACTGAGTTAACGTATACTTTGCGAGTGTTTTATCAAACTACTATATCCCGCTGAGCAGAGCAAGCTGACTATGTCGTATCGCGATATCACGTGAATCCATAGTTATGTAACCGACACAAATATTTCCTCCGATAACAGAGAGTTTAATTAATTTGAAATGCGCGCAAATGCCGATTTAGCAGCGCGAAATTACCGAGATAACCCACTCGTGTCCTTTATAATATCGGCATACCGTCTTTCAGTAAAGACTTCAAAAATACTATTACTCGTATGGAAAGCGCATTCCCGTTCTCGCAATTGGATTGCGAGCGAGTTGAGATCGGTACAAGTGCCGCTAATTGATTCGGCAATTAATCGCGTCGCGCGGAGTTGAGTGGACCGCCGCCGCGCCGCCCGCGCCGCGTGGACTAATGCGTCCGTCGTGAATCAGTTTCGCAGTTACAAGTTTCTCTCGCCGCTCTCTCTCTCTCTCTCTCTCTCTCTCTCTCTTTCTCTCTCTCTCTCGGTCCCGATATCGCGGTCGGCGATTTTATTATCTTCCCGGCGAACAAAGTTGGAAAATCGCGCGGCGGCCAACCCGCAAGAAAAGAAGGAGAGGAAAACTTTCCATCGCGCGGCTTCGGCAAAAGAAATAGTACGCGCGTTTCGCCGAGCGGCGACTCGGCTCGACTCGACCGATGCGATGCGATGCGTAACTGGATCGGGACCTTATTGAGTTTCCGTACTTTCGAATTCCGCCTGCCGTCGACGAACAACGGCCACCCTGATGCGCGCGCGACCGGAGGCGGTGAATTTGCTTTTCAAATTTTCGTTCTTTCGCTCGCGGGCGGCCAACTACCGTGGCTGCGGATCAATGGGTTTTCAATTTAGCATTAGTTTCACATCTTACTGCACCTCGCCTGACTCGCCTCGAGAACACGGTTCTTCGCATCGCCGATTCTCACAGTCTATGAGACTGTTGGGCGAAAATGTTAAAGAATTACAATATAAATATGAAAATGTTAAAGAAATGCATACTCATTATGCGAGAAAAAGTATGTTTTTTAGAATTAATTTATATATGCACATGTACACAATTGAATAAATAGAGCAGTTTCAAATCTTTGCATAGCAAAAATAAAATAATTTGTAATTTATATTTTATATATTTAGGCTCTCGTCACGAAATACATATAATTTCGAGAATTTTTTTAACTATTCTTGAAGCCCTCTCTTATCGCATCGTATTGATCGACAGAGCCAGTTTCTCGATATCGCAACCGATCGAAATAGGATTCCGATTTAATGCCAGCTTCAAATACCGAGCCGTGAACGGACAATATTGCAATTAGGCTCGTGACAGTCGATCGAATGTCGGTATCCGTTGCAAACGCGTGTACGCGCGCGGCACGCCTCGCGAGTCTGATTTAGGCAATTTAGATCGCCGCAGCTGCGTGCTGTGCAGCCTTTCAGCCTGTCAGTTCTTGCTCTGACGAAATAGCGAAATCGTCGGCGCGTCTCTCGATCGGTTTTGCCCGCCGGCGATGTGTAACAACGACGGCGATGGCGCGGCGGCGATTGAAAATCCAAGAATCCGGGAAAACTTTCGAGGAACGCAGCTAACGAACAAACTTTCGCTGTATGTATAGCCCGTCGTCGCAAGATCTCGACAGAGTCGAGATTTCGTACTTAACGATTTATATAACGAAACGACTACGCGTCGGTACGGAGTCGATAAACCGAGTATTAATTAAATACACGACGATGACACGCCGGGATCTTCGAGCATCTCGACCAGTCTGCGCTCTTTGAAAGTTCGTAAGATAAACAGAAGATACGCTCTGAGGGCGGAGTGATAGCGAGAAGGGTATTTCTGATTACATTGGAAATGTTATTTGATCAAATTTCAGTTTAAAAGACTTGAGGAAACCGAGCCATAGCTCATTGGTGTTTGATTAACCAAATAGAATAAAAAAAATAGGCGTTAATATTTAACCGGTGCTAATTACTGACTATGTAATAATAGAAAAAAATGCATAATTGTTCCTAAAATGAATATTAAAAAAAAATGAAATAAACAGATGATAGAAACAAATCGAAACGCATTTTGCATCAGCGTGATAAAAATAATCCCGCTTAGGACATTTTCAAAGCTACGCCGACGAGAGATAAAGTATGATAATTTTTCATCCGCGAAGATATCGTAATACGAACATTAGCAAAATCTCTGTTGCTTCTTCCGGGGCTTATCTACCTGCTTCCCCCAACACCAAGCCGAAACAAAATATAACTATCCCGCGAGTCTCGCGCTTCTCCTTGCCCGTCTTAAAGCACCGTGGAATCACCAAGGCGCGCTGCACCCCCGCGAAAACTCTTGCGGTGACGACGGGGGAAACAAGAAGCGAGGAAAGTTATCTCGAAGTGCGCCGTCCCGGGAGAAAGTGGGAGCTGCAGCTCATCGTGGTTGAGGAGCGACTTGGGGACCCGACTGTAGGAGAGAGCGCGGAATTCTCAGGGCGAGATGATAGCCTGCGAGAGAGGGTAACTTGCTGGAAGGGAGATCACGCGTCCTCTCCGAAGACGGAAAAACTTTGGGATGAAAATTGACGGCCGGAGACGAAAACATGTGAGGGCGCGGGGAGGGCCTCTTAACACCTGCCTTTTCGCGCCGTAATAAGGTCGCTCGTCGGTCTTAAAGCGGTCGCGCATGGGCCGCCTAAACGAATTAAAAGTACGGAGAGGAGTTCCTCCTCCTTTCGTCCCGTTCTCTTCGGCTCTTCTTCGTCGTCTTTATCGTTGTCGACGCGAAGCCGGGAAAGTTGCTCGGCTACGTCTGCCGTATTGAAGTTTTTTACATCCGCCGAGATAATCTGGCTTAATTAATTTAATTCCAGTAGAGAAGAGAAGGGAAAGGGCTACGACCCTTCTACCCCAGGCCTCTCCTTCCCTCTCGCCTCGCTTCGTTATCGTCCCTTTCTCCCGGAAGGTTCTCTCGCAGCGAGGAATATTTTATTGTGCGAAAGCGATTTTATGAGACGGCTGCGCGATGTAGCGGCGCTGTATTTAGAGACCTTCGTTTGTCGCGAAGAACGAGATGATTTAGACGATTTTTCTTTTCCTCGCCAGGTTTGCACGGGACTGTATATATGCGAAGAGATTCAATTTAGTAGAGAGGGACGACGATCACAATCGAGAATTCTTACAATATCTGAAAATTAATATCGCTAGCGGCACAGATCGTAATAACATGCATATAGATTTTTATTACAGCACCAGATGGAAGTAGACAATTAAAATTACGTTGAAGGCAAATATTAACGAGCAAATATCGGACATCGATATATCGGAACCTCGTTCTAATTATTTTATAACATAAAATATCTTCATTTTTTCTCGCGTTAAAGTTTATAATCTGCTTTGACAGTGTGCTCCCCACGATAATCTCACGTGTGTCAATATAGTTCATATTCTGCCAATACATCGCGCGTGTTGTGCTATTTGAGCAGGCTGAGGAAATGCATTTTTTCATATTCGGTAATTTACAACTCGCGTTACACTTATTTCTTTTTTTCGCGTTATCTATTTTTTTTCTCCATTGGAACAAGTTCATTTGGTCCGTATTTTTTCCGCGTTTTCTCGTTTACATACTAATTTCCCTGGCCGATACGTGCGCTGTACTTTCTTGATCGAGCATATTTTCACACATTCCATTTCCTGTTTTGCGGCGAGCCTTTTGTAAACTCGGATTTTCCCTTCGTCCATATTATATCGGTTGTTATTCTGGATTGTAACGGGCGGCGACGCGAATTATAGAGAAAGAAAGAGAGAGAGAGAGAGAGAGAGAGAGAGAGAGAGAGAAGGGGGAGGATGAGCGTAGGGATGAATTTCACATCCTGTATATTACACGTTCGCATCCCGTCATATTATAACGGTAAAAAGGCACGTTATACGAGCACGAAAAATTCCTTTCCCTCGTATGTTCTGCATATTCCGCATTGTGCGTGAGTCACATACACGGTTTGGCAGTAACAGGTGTGAAAAGTTCATAAAAGCGAGGCATGCGTTATACGCAGACGAATGCGAGCGCGCGCTTCGTATGCTAATAAAACGTCGATAAGGAACGGCGCGTTCGCGCGGGCTGCGCCGGGTCTACCTTTATTATCTGCCACGGGAAGAAAAAGCTTGCAATTATAAATCCTGATTAATTTCGCGTTTTTATCGTTTCATCGAGCATTTATGATGGATGAAGTTTTTGAGCGAGTCCGCGGACGTACGATGTTATAAATCATGCAGTATCGGGAGTATATGCGCTCAGTTGGTACATAGCGTGTATGTATTTTAGTCGATATTTGCTCCTGCGTCAAGAAAATAACAACGAAAAATAAAACAATATGCGTACGTTCGCTCTATCTTAACAAAAATTTATTTGCACACGCGTAACAATAATTATTAGTGTAAAACCACAGAATATTCGAATTAGCGTCTATAATTCGTCATTTCCAACAAATAAATCTCAAAAAATTGTCAATTATTTCTACAAAATTGTTTTATAGCGTTTCTTTTTAAATAATCTACGGTTCGAGGCTTAAATTTCATTAGTGTGCATCGATCTATCACTGATTGACGAATTAACCGTGCGCGCTGAACTGTGAAAACCACACAAAAGGCGCATGTAGATGTTCAAATAATGGTACCGAGCCGCGGTAGCGTTTCCTCTCGTGCGAGAGGCGAAACAGAACGGATCGAAAGTGGGTCGGGTCGTCGCCGATGGGCGAGAGAGGACGATGATGAACGAGAGGGTCGTAAGGACGCGCGAGAGGAAGAACGGGCGGGTGAAGTAATGCGATTCTCGCGTGAGAATCGAGCGGGGGTGCCAAGGATGCGCGCGGGAAGATTCCGTGACGGGGAAGAGGAAGGAGACGTCGCAGGAAGGTCTCTCCTGATCTTGGTCTCTCCTGGTCTCTCCCGAGAGAGGACGAGAGTTTCGAGATGTCCCCGCTTGCCACTCGCCCCTCTCCCTTGCGAGTCGGCGATTTGTCAGCCGGGCGAATACACGACGAGAGATAACGGCGAAGTTTCGCAGACGCTCCGGATGGCCACGGACTCTCTCGCGGTTGACAAATGCGCGACCGTCGTCGGTGCCGCTTTCGGGGAACGGTTGCGCGTTTTGTATGCGTACAAATGACGATCGCGAAACACACGCGCGCATATGATAAGCGCGCCATCGGGGAACGAGATGATCCGGGGATACTCGCGGTTTTCGCTACGGTCTCGGAGGGAACTTGACGAATGAGTCTAGCGAATACACAACGCGTTTTTGCATTTTTATCGCGAAGGCGATATCTTTTTAATTAAGTCGCGAATATCCTGTGACGATAAGCGCGGCACTTTTGCGCGACGACAGTTTATTGCAACGTTAAAGCCGTTAATGAAAAATTTACAAATTCGTAACGTTATTATGTAAATAACGCAAAATACATGCAAATTTATCTTTATAAACGAATAGGATTTGTAATATTCTTGTACAAAAATTTTATAATTATCATGATTTGTATAAGGCGGATGAATTATTGAAACGGAAAAGCTTGCACACTATGCGCATCCGTGAAATAACATTCGTAATAATACGCATAATGCGCTACGGTATATTGTGAATCGATATTATATATTGTACATCGCGATGACCAGCGAAAATATTTATGGTTAAAGAGCGTATTTTAATAAACGCCCACGTCAATTAGCGCAACGCTCCGGTTTAATGAATGTGTTTCTGTAATTACGCGTGTAATACGTATTATTGATACGCGAACATTTTGCGCGAGGTATACGGCGGGCAACAAATTCAAGAATCGAAAGGCAAGAGCGCGTTGAAAAACATGATACGGGATTAATATCCTCAAACTCATGAATAAAACGGAAATACTGGCGCATATTATATCAATAGCACCGGGGCACATTGCGTTTCTGTGCGGGTATTTACAAACCTATCGCTCCCGGCATCGATTGTTTGCGAATGCGGGCGCGGCTGGTGTGTTTGCGAGGTTCTAACGGTAGTCAAATAATTCGCTAATTATTCGCGGAAAATTATTACGCGGAAGGATGTGGTTACGGGATGATAGTATCTTAAAATGCAAGTGCACTCTCGTCCTTTTCTCTCGCAAGGGAAACAGCAAACGCGGCTCGACTCGTCGCGTCGGGGGGGG